TATATATATATGCGGCATATACATAATAACAAGAGATATAAAATGCATTGTGTATTAATAGCTCTTGATGATAATATACAATATACATCGATATATTCGTTTATAATGCATCATCACAGGACAAAACATTCATCAGTGTGTTGTCATCATCGTTCGAGCCACAGTGCTTGTGAAGAGAGCTCGCCCACGGACAGCGATCGACAACCAACCGTGGTGTGTGCGTTGTTACATTCTTCTAAATAATTGTGATAATTTATGGATGACTCATCGCTGTTCTTTCCCCCAATATACCAGGCTGCAATGCCTACCACGGTACCCTCACTGCTTCCCCCCTAGCCTGACTATACTGCCCCATTCCTAGTCTAGCAGGCTGTATCACCAACCACCCCCTCATTGCCGACCCCTGTTCTGGCATCCTGTGACACCAACCACCCCCCTGATTTCCCCTGCCCAATCTAATGGGCCGATATTAACTACTACTAGTCACATCTAGTTAGAGTACAGACGGGTAGGAAGGAAAGAAGTTGAGAGGTCGGGAGAAGGTAAGTCTTGGAAGGGTGAGTAGACGGGTATATACTTGCAAGTGAGTAAAGAAGTATATCTTGGTAAGTGAGTAAAGAAGTATATCTTGGTAAATGAGTAAAGAAGTATATCTTGGTAAGTGAGTAGACGGGTATATACTTGCAGGTGAATAAAGAAGTATATCTTGGTAAGTGAGTAGACGGGTATATACTTGCAGGTGAATAAAGAAGTAAATCTTGGTAAGTGAGTAGACGGGTATATACTTGCAGGTGAATAAAGAAGTATATCTTGGTAAGTGAGTAGACGGGTATATACTTGTAGGTGAGTAAAGAAGCATATCTTGGTAGACGAGTAGAGATATATCTTAGTAGGGAAATAGAGGAGTATATCTTGGTAAGCGAGTAGAGGGATGTATGCTGGTAGCTGAATAGAGATATATATCTTGGCAGCTGAGTATAGCAGTATATCTTGGCATCTGAATAGAGATATATATCTTGGCAGCTGAGTATAGCAGTATATCTTGGCATCTGAATAGAGATATATATCTTGGCAGCTGAGTAAAGCAGTATATCTTGGCAGCTGAGTAGAGATATATCTTGGTAGGGAAGTAGAGTGGTATATCTTGGTAAATGAGTAGGGTGGTAACAGTGCGTACAGTGAGTTCACCCGATCAAGCCTCCCCCATCACCTACAAACCCCTCTCTCTCTCTCTCTCTATCGATTTACATCGGTTGCCGGCAGATCGATATTCAAAATAATTAGTAACGCGGCTGCAAATGACTACCGTATATCGTACGCTACACAATCTATCGCGAAATTTGATAAACGCCCGCAAATTTCGTTCCTAATCGAAAAAATCTCCATCCACCCGACGTACAACGATAAAATCGAAACACCACAAACGAATTCGAAACGGCGTTAGCGGTCGCCTTGACGACGGTTCTGCCTCGCCGCCAGGGGTTGCGCGCGTCGCCTCGCGTGGACCGGAGATGACACCGAAACAAGCCGCCGACCCCTGGAGTCACGCTGACCCCTGGAGTCACGCACCTCTGTCGGAAACGCGAAAAACAGGTTGTGCATGGAATGTTAGATTCGCTCCACCACTCGCCCCCCGACCCCACCGGACTATAGGGGACCCGCTTGTTTGAAAGGTTGAAATCTTCCCCCCGTGCAAACGCAAACGCAAACTTGCCCTAAACGCCTCCCGACCAGACTATACGGACCTGCTTGTTTGAAAGGACGGACCCGTCTGATCTGTAAAACTTAATCCTAATCCGCCCCCGCGTGCAAACTCAAACGCAAACGGGCCCTAAACGCGTCAACTGTCTCCGTGACCTATCACCGTGTGTGTTCACGACTAGTAACAAACAGTGATGGACCGAGGCGGCCGTATTGTATGCATCCTCCCCTTTCACTCTATAGCCCGGTCAGAGACCAGGTGAATTAGCACTCAGTGGACCGAACAAACGAGCCCTGGTATGGCGATCGGAGTTGTAAGGCACACGAGAGGCGTGACACCACTAGGGGGAGCATCACAGGGGGAGCATCACAGGGGGAGCATCACAGACACGTACAATATCTGACGACGAGGCGTGGTAACTACGCCTTGCTCGTGGTCACTAGGTGGTCAACCGCCAGGGGGCGCCGCGAGAGCATCGAACCTCGCAGGTTAATTACGATGGGCAATCAACGACCGGCGGCTGCTGTGCTGGCTGGAGCTGCTGGGTGGAGCTTACGCTGCGAACAGAAAAGCATCCTCCTCTTCCCCCTTCCCTCCTCCCGCCCTCCACCCTTCCCCTTCCCTCCTCCCGCCCTCCACCTTCCTTTCTCCCGCACCCCTGTATAGCCACAGAGGGCTACGTTATGAGTGCACCCCACCCCCCTCCCACATAGGAACATGTACAGACGGGCGGGGATCCTTGTCTGATATATCATTGTATCAATTTCTCCTCCGCATTCCGTCTTCTCTCACGCTTAGCATGTCATCTTCCTCCACGACTAGTAGGGGCAGTCTATGCACCAACGCTCGCCATCCACACAGCCGGGATGGTAGTTTAGACTTCCACCAGCGCCTCCCGTGACAGGTTGGGGCAGACTGGACTGTAAATGTCATCCTCACGACATGTGCGGGAACTCTAGAGTTAAAATAACGTCCCCACGACTAGTGTGGACAGTCTAGATCGACAATGTCTCTCCCCACGACTAGTGGTGGCAGTCTAGATTGACAGTGCCCTTCCCCCGCGACTAGTAGGGAACATCTAGACCGGCGCCGTCGCCTCCGTCGCTCCACTTTCCCTTGACGCACGTGCCCTGGCCACGCCACCAGTCGTTAATGTCCTCGTACCACTTCGTCTTCGTCGGGTAGTGCAGCATCGCGCACATGCGACACCAGAAGTAGGTGTTGACGAACGTGCCCGTGCCCTTCCACTGAAAGTACTCGTTGTAGAGCGTGTCGTTCGCGTCGAGCTTGCGAAGGTAGGCTGCTAGCTCGGCGGGTCCGGCGAAGTCGTCGACGTGAATGAACGAGTAGTAGGGCGCGGCACGCGTGTAGTCCTCCTTGCTCGCTCCCATGACGATGGGCACAATGTCGTTCCTAGAATAGAGAGAGAGAGAGGGGGAGAATGAGTGCGGGTGACAAGCAATAAAGAGAGGGGGAGAGAGAGAGAGAGGGGGAGAATGGGTGCGAGTGAGAAGCAATAAAGAGAGGGAGAGAGAGAGAGGGGGAGAATTAGTGCGGGTGAGAAGCAATAAAGAGAGGGGGAAAGAGAGGGGAAAATGAGTGCGGGTTGAAGAAAGAGATTCCATCTTATATGTCGTTTCTAGAAGAGGAGGGGGGATGTAGAAAGACAGACAGAGAGAGAGAGAGAGAAAGAGAGAGAGAGTGAGAGAGAGAGAGAGAGAGGGAGACTGAGAATAAGAAAGAGAGCGAGAGAAAGAGCGAGAGAGAGAGAGAGAGAGAGAGAGAGAGAGAGAGACGAGAATGAATGCGGATCGAAGAAAGAGAAGGAGCTGTGATTACATTTTAGTAGCGAGGGGTTCTTCAGAAGGAAATCTTCTCCCAATCAGCACACCGTAAACCTCGAAACGTGCATGCGAGGAAACGGACTTTGCCACACTAACTACGTTACAGTTCGATTGTGTGCGAGTATATTAGCATGCTATATATATACGTGACTATATTAGCCAACTGGCAAGGAAAGCGAATGTGTCACTGCAAGCTATATGTGACTATGTTAGCTATGACTGGCGAGAAGAAAACTGTCACGTCACACACGTTTATACGGCTTATATTTTTAACGTCAATTACGTTGTCATAGCAACCATCATGCGGACAGAAAGCGTATGAAATCTGTCATTGACAAAACTCTTCGAAAGTCTGGTGGCACTGCTGCGTTACTGTTCCCTTATTGTGTATGACTGACCATGCACTCATGGTAATTGCTGGGTGGGTGAGGGGGAGGGGGTGTTGTTCGTCTGCTTAAATGCATGGTGGATGGTGCCAGGGAACTCATTGAGTTTCATATATCGCCCGTAAACTACATCATGGCACGCACGAGCTGATTGAATAGCTTCGCACCACTGAAAAAAAGATACATGTAGTTCCTGGATAGAGGCAATATTACAGCCATGTAGTCCTGAAATCGATACATGTGTGTGCGTGCCTGCGTGTGTGTGTGTCTGTGTGTGTCTGTGTGTGTGTGTGTGTGTGTGTGTGTGTGTGTGTGTGTGTGTGTGTGTGTGTGTGTGTGTNTCTCTCTCTCTCTCTCTCTCTCTCTCTCTCTCTCTCTCTGACTGGCTCGCTCTGCCTCGCTCCCGCTCTCTGAGCCTCGGCTGGGTTTAGATGAATCGATCAATACGCACGCGGTCACCGCTCGTGGATCCGCTACCCTGCGTCTGCGTGACTACGCCTGCACTCACGCACGCACGCACGCACGCACGCACGCGTACAGCGTCTATACGCGACGGTCTGTCTCCCAGAGCGACTTATTGTTTTCGTTAGCTAGCGACGTGTGGCGTCGACGTGTCGTGAGCGTGGTTGAACGATCCGCAGGCAGGTGTAGATGCTTGCTGCAGGTAACGTGAGCTGCTGGTGAGGTGCGCAGCGCCACTCACTCCTGAAACAGATGTATGTATGTAAATATATGTATACTAGCGGGATACCCGGCGTTGCCCGGGGAAATCAGTGGCGTTACTCAGTTGGTGACCGCTTGGTTGAAAGGAAAATACCCAACAAAATCTAACTATCTATCTATCCATGCATCCATCCATGCATGCATTCGCAGTCCATATATTATTATGTGATATATATATTAGGAGTTATTAACCTATTATTTACTTCTGATATATCTATCTATCCATTCCATACCATCCCATCCCATCCCATCGCACCGCATCCCATCCCATCCCATCCCATATCCCATCCCATCCCATCGCATGCCATGCCATGCCATGCCATGCCATGCCATCCCATCCCATCCCATCGCACCGCATCCCATCCCATCCCATCCCATATCCCATCCCATCCCATGCCATGCCATGCCATGCCATGCCATCGCATGCCATCCCAAACAGTAAAAAATAATAAGAAATCAAAAGTTAAAAGACATTAAATATAAAAAATTAAAATTAAAAAGTAAGATATTAAAAATAATACATACTAAAGAGGTAGGTAAAGGAAAAAAAAAGGAAAAAAGGGGAAAATAAGTTCCCCAGCTGAGACTCGAAGCCGGAATCCCGGTGTAGGAGACGGATATTCTAGCGATTAGGCCACTGCGCCGCTAAGGGTATACCCATGGATTCACACGTACGTGATGTTAATCTGTACGCACCGCCATCTATTGATGAATATAATTTTTATGAATTTTTAACTTTTTAAGCCAGAACCACCTCCCAGACGTGCTGATTCTGAAAATATCTTTAGTTTTCCTCTA